AAGTAAAATTGAAGGCCTCAGGATCCATTCGAGCTTGTCGTCGGCCATGCTGAAGCTCCTGCACTTGAGAAGAAGTCAAGAGGCAGCAAGTGAAATGACAATGCTGTCGCCTCTTGCTTGGACGGGGCAGCAGCCGCAGCCATGGCTAGCCGGGCAGGATATGTGCAGGGAAGGTTGCATGCATCGGCTAGCAGGATGGGAGTGTAGGCTAGCATACTTGACAGTCGCACACGCAGCTGAATCCACAATTCAGTTGCGTTGTACGGGAGTTCCTGGCATATCAACGTAGCCATGAGTTCAGGGTGCAGGTGCGTTGGGAAGCATCTTTTGGTATCTGTTCTGGTGCTTTTTAGTGCTTGAGTCGGGCCTCTTGGTCAGCTGAAACAACTGCTCGGTGCATGAAAACAGGTTGGTGCCTGAGAACTGCTTTCCAAGTCCTTGCCGCAAAAACCTTGAATCAGAAATCTGAAAGCCATAACAACTTCAACGTAGAACCGTTCAAATTCCTGGACAACTGTTAGGCCTTGAAGATTGTCAAGCATTGGGCCAAGAAGAATGGCAAAGAGATGAGGCTGTGCAGGATGTTAAGGGCGCAGCGCATAGAGATGTACGTCATGAGGACCAAGTGCAAAATGGGTTGGGTTCCAGGTGAGGGTTTAGGGACTGTTGGGATGTTGTGTTTGATTAAGGTTTGGCAAGCCAGGCTTGATACGGGCATTGCCCAAAACTTAGGGCCTCTCTCGAAGCTGTTATCAGGATTTCACAAAGGGAGCTTGATTCTTGGAAACAACCATGTCTGAGTCCTTCTTATAGGTATCGAGGTTACATGTTTTGCCAGCCCGATGATGCGGCGCTATGGTGGGCCAAGGCATGGACATGAAAGAATGGGTCAGGGGAACCGATTTTTGGGATTTGTGGGAACTACTGCTGGCATTTATTCCTCCGTTTTCTGCTAACAACCAGAAAGCTGACCCAGCGCAACATCAAGAACATCAAGCATCAGAACTTTAACAAGTACACGAGATCTCAGTTGCGGAATGGGCATTTCCGAAAGGAAAGATCCACCATGTCCCCCAAGAGTGCTCTAGCCCCTCACTGCAGGGTCCTTTCAAAGGGGGCTCCTGGTCCACAGCCATCAGGGATCTTGAAACGATCAATCTTTCTCTCTGGACACCCTCAACACTTGACGTCTAATCAAACCTCAAATTGTGAGCAGCTCCAGCCTGTCCTCAAAAGTGAGCTTTTGCCGTGGGAGCTTTGTTTCACGCCCCTTCCCTCTGAAAGAGGATGGCATTGTGCAGCTCTGAAAGAGTCTCGCGGTCTCAGCACATGGCCACGTTTACGTACATGCTGGCAGGCATCAGCAGCTGATCAAGTCCTCCCAGCATACCGACAACGTCAGTGACTTTCATGCAAATGTATGTGCGTCTAGGGATTTTCCAATCCTGCTCCCACCAATTACCTGAAGATGCTGTCATACGGATGCTCCCAAGTTGCGTATACTTTCCTTAGAGACAAATTTTGACTAAGGGTGAATGCCACCGGCATGAAGCGTTAAGGTCTATGGACTCAGCGAGGGTTTTGGTGTGCGTATCAATGGCTTGTCCTTGCAGAAGAAACGTGGGTAAAAGCCGCTGCCAGCTCCCGCAACAGTCTCCGGGTAGAATGTAGTGAGAAAATCCAGGCTTGCGAAATTGTAAGAAGCTGTTCTATCATACCATACGGTCTCCAAGGGCATTGCATAGAGAATCTAGAGAATTTCTGCAGCGGATCCTAAAGGTTTGTACGGGGAACATCCAAGTTTCAAGAGCTGGCATCGCGTGGAATCTAATAATTTCGCCGATCACACCGGCATTCGTCGTGCCATTCTGCGAGGCTCTCAAATACTTTGGGTTTTTTTCACGCGTCATATTGTTTGGAGGATATGTAGAAACAATCTTTGTTGACTCACTGTACCTAATTCCATGTGATTTGTAAAGGAAGTAGCGAAGTCATGCAGTGACGTTAGGGATGACTGTCGTCATGCCGGTACAAATGGACTGCCTGCTAGAGCTTGCTCAAGATAATCCGGTGAAACTCCGGCAAGACCTTTCAATCCAAGTGTCGAGAATCACCCGAGCCCTGTAGAGTCTAAAGCCCTAAACCTCCCAACCTTGCAAAACCTCGCAAAACTCCAGACCCAAACCCTAAGCCCCAACTCCACGCTTTGCCTCCCGTCCCTCCTCCCTGTCAAATCCTTCTTTAGTCACCTGTAAAGCCCATTCAGCCCAATCATAAAGCCTGGAGTGTGTAAGCTAAGGCGTCTTGGACCTCTTTCGCCGAAGCGCTTTGCGGTGGAAGACTTTCGCGCATGCCATGGTATGGCCGGACCGTCAGATTCTTTTGGTTATATGGGGGTGATGTGGGCTTCATAGGACGTACTGTAGGAATCCGTGTTTGGAGAGTAAGGTGTGGAGGTCCATGGTTGAGGGTTTGGGAAGTAAAGCAAACATGAGCCTGAAAAGGAATCCTTTGTACTGCTGCAGTTTGAGGCAAGCCACTTTATGGGATTCCATCTTAGTTGTTGAAAGTTTGAGGGTCCAGGCATTCAGCGTTTAGGGGTTTAGGGTCTTGACTTATGAGGATTTAGTGTGTTTCAAAGTTCTAGGCTAGGTTTGGGGCTTTGTTCTACTCTGGATTGACGAAGCAGGGACACTTCAAGCATGCCCACGTAAAGTGGTGGAACGTGCTTTGGACTACGTGAGAGTATCAAATGGAAGCGGACTGGGACACAAGAAGGAACCTGGGGTTCTGTACAGGGTTTTATTCCCAAAGGCAGTTGCGCTGGGACTTGGGTACACGAAATGTTGCAACAAGGATTATTGGGGCACTATTCTACGCATGGTATAGGCTTCATGGGATTGGAAGTGTGGAGTCGCTTTGGTCGAAGAAGTAGTTACATGACGTGAAGAGCATCATTCTTGAAGTTACGGCAACCACAGGAACAATGCAGTCCCAATCCTCGGTCAAAGCTGTTCCTAGTGCTTGCAGGCCGTCCTTAGCCCCAACTTCCAACGTGTTTCTCAGATGTTGACATGGAAAGATTCAGACTGCAGATGAATGCCACGGTTGGGGGACTACAATGTTAAGGGGAAGCCAGAAAGGGGCTGTACGTGCCTGGACGAGGTTGCCTGCATGAGGGCTGTGGTGTTAGCATCCATGAGCACACGTGAACTTCAACGTCTGATACTGCCATTGCTGCCCTGACAGAATTCCTGCCAGTATCATCCTTGCCCTGGATGGAGAAAACCTGGCACCACTCTGTGTACCATATACCAGGGCAGTTACAGTGCTATGCGGGCCTTAGGCGGTGCAAGGTCTCCTCCATCCACCGTATCAGAACATATTGGCTGCCTCAAGCCCTCAACCCTGAACTAAATTCATTGGTTAGGCAATCAGCCTGCCCTTCTGCATCCTGGCAATTCGTCCAGCAACGGAGACTGCGGACCAGCTAAGGTATAATACAGCAGAGCTACCATTGACTTGAAGGAACTACTACGGCCGGCTTTGTAATGTCCCAGCATCAGCTACACACAACTCCATGCAACCCTCAGCCTGTTCCCCTAACCCCGCAACCAGAAACCTCTAAATCCTAACGCCCTGAGCTTACATAATAGAAATCGAGGAAAGGACGACCTACAACGAGGGTTTCCATATCCATTCCAGCTATTTAGGCCTCCTATGCCACGCCTCCTTGCAGGTTTTCGTTCGGAGTGACGTACTACGGTGCGCTCCTCAAGGATCTTCCCGAAATTCCCATGTATATCCGCACGGGCACGGGTTACATGCGGCCTCATTGCGCCAGTGCGGATTCAACAACGAAGCACGATATCCCTTCTGACCTTCGAACCCGGAGCTGCAAGTCGATAAGCATTGTCACGTTTCACTGTCATGCTGGCTTAGCGGAAACGTACTTTCATCGTGGCGTGTCAAAACCTCCCTCGGGGTGGTTATGTAGAAAATACAGGTTTGTATCACCTTGTCTATTCGGACTACAGCAGTTTGTCACACTGTGCTTGAATACCTACAAACGGCGTCTGCAAGGCGATGATGAACCCCTGTACGTTCTTCGAACTCCGCTCCCTCGCTGTTGTCCGAACAGTCCAGCTGAATCGGACCCAACAACTCATGAAACATAGGCCTCCCCAGAGACCCTTGTTCGGATCCTGCGTTCTTAGCAGTGGCTGCCCACCATGTAAGGCATGAAAGTCTGAGATGCCTCATGTAATCAATAGCAGGCTTTAGGTAAGCCCTAAACACGTTGTAGCTATGTAGCATCCGTGAACTCCCTGGTCTGGTGATTTCGGTTTCTAGATAGACCCTAAACCGAAACCCTCGTACTTCCAAAGCCTCAGGCGCCTGACACTGTGAAACCCCAAGAGCAGGTATACCCCCAGACCCAAGCACCTGAAGGTTGAACCCTCTTAGCCCCAGGAATTCAGTCGATCTCCAGGTATTGTAATGCTGCTCCCGCGAATTTTCCAGAAGGGGAGTGAGACCTGCTCTCAGTCTTGTCTGCAGGGATTAATACTGGAGGTTGGACTTTATGGACATTGACGGACCTTTTTCGAGCGACCTCTCCTTCAGGGTACAGCTTGTGTTCTTGGGATGTGTAGCCCGAAAACCAGTCAGTCTGGGGCTTGGCAGTGTCGGGTCCAAAATTATCCTGCGCAACAAGCCCGGATGTGGTCCTGCTTGTCTTTGTCAATTCTTTCTTTAGGGCAGCCCTTTCTTTGGAGACATCCCTTCAAGGCCTTCAAGGCTGTTGTTTATATCAAAAACTTTGCTGTGCATGGCCTACCCTTAGCCAGGCTCTTTTCTCTTGGATATGGACACCCAAGGGCAGATGGTGTCGGACCTCAGTGCACGTGCAACAAGTTTTTGGGGCGATAACGATTGCACGCAGCTCCATCTGGCTTCATATGCACCGGCGCAGCAAACTGGCAAAGCAAGTCGGGAGAATGATGCCCGCATTCATTCGAGCAATTTGGTGGCCAGACGCGGCTACGAAAAGAGAGGAGGCTCTAGACACGTTCCTGCGCATGCAACTTGCTGCTTTGTCAAAGCCCAACACACAGGATGACTGTGCTTGGCTATACTGCTGGTGGCAACATGGCTTCCGGTATGTTGGCATGGCGCGTGCCCGCCGTGCCGATGCTTGCATGTCTGGTGGCCCTCTATGCCGTTTCGTGGAACACCTGTCCCTCCGGACTCGGCCGCACCCCAGGGATGCTCAGAAGCTCCGCTACAGGCGTGCGCGATCATACAGCGGCGGTTCTTTCTGGTGGCTCCCTGCTTTTGTGGGTCGCACTGCCCAGGTTGCTGCCATGGAACAGCTCGAGATCAAACTGCACTTGCCGAATGCCAATGGTCCCGCACGGGCAGGCATGCTTGACAAACCTTGCAAGGTTCAGCGCAAGCGCCCTCCTCGCTGGCGCCGCCTGCGCTGCAGTGGGAGGGCTCCTCCTGCGCATGCTGCTTGGGAAGGGCACATCGGCGGTTCCCAGCTAACAAAAGGAATGGCTTCATTCGAATCCGCTGATGCGGACCTCTCACAATGGTCCTTTTGCCAAGCATACAGGCATACACAGCGGTGCCAGATGGGTACGGAAGCAACCATGGGACCTCTGAGCATTTATTCGCCGGCTATGCAGCAGCTCTTCCTCCTATGGGCTGCTGCGGGCAACGAGATCGATTGGGGCCTACTGGAGAAATGCTGGAAAGTGCCTTGTGGACCTGTTGCTTTGGCAAAGCTATGCCACATGGTCAAGGGGCCTTTGCGCCTCAGACGCCTAAAGGGAGTGCTAGATAGGGCTCTGCTTGCACTTGGTTTGCCAACCACAACACCTTGCATCGTGCCAGTGCCTGTCGCTGACCTGCTGGCCCCAGTGAGGAGCCAGTTTGCAAGTGTGTTAAGACAGCAGTTCCCTCATCAAATAGCGAATTGGTGTATGTCCCGGGTCCGCTTCAGTCTATGTGCCCAGCCATCGTGATTCCTGGACGCGCGTGAGAGATGCCAAGAAACTGGACTGGGAAGCCTTTCGCTACATGCCCGACAGTGCTGAAGGGGGCGCTGCAAGGCCATGGCTTGCATCGTGTGGAGAAAAACTGGGACGTTCCCCGCTTCCTCGAGAATGGCGACCTGCAGGCAATGTTCAGAAAATGCGTAGGGAAGGCCTTTGCTAAGGTCACTGCTTGCAGGCACCTCGGTTGTCAAGCTCTCCCACGGAGGGCACTTCAACAATACGATGAGAGGCGAAGAGCATGCAAGCAAAGCTATGATGCGCACACCAGAGAGATGAGCTTTGCGCCAGGTTGCTCCATCATCCCAGACGACAAATGCAAGAAGTATGCCTGGAGGATGTCTCAGGACGCCTACCGCTTCCTGCTGGCCTACTTCATACTCCTAGCTGCAAACTGGCAGCTGACCGCAATGAGTGTTACTGAGGCCAACGAGTGGTGCTATGACATGATCATAGCTTTGCTGCCTAAGCACCTCATCGGCTTCCTGGGCATGAGCCGCAGACCGTGGATCCTGCCCTACTGTTACGCGATGATCAAGGCCAAGTGCTTCGCGCCGCATGGACGAACCTGCATGTCCGCAGGGCATTCCTGCGTGCGTAAGGTCATCAGCTTCGCAACATGGCCGAAGAAATCCTGTTGGCGCATGGTATCGAGAGGACTGCAGATTGCTTTGCAGCGTGGGCCTGACAACTGGCAAGTGTGGAGTTTGCGGGACGCCCCGGCCATTCTTCGGAGGAAGTTGTCAAACCTGTCTATGCCCGGCGACCCTCACGTGTGCAGCAGATGTGGCGGTCCAAAGTCGCATTTGGAAGCAACGGTGCACGACGCGGGCCAGTTCTTCGAATGTGTCACGGTGACAGATGCACTCCAAGCTGCGCACGGGGTTCTACAGCTGACTGCCCAGCACACAGGTTGTTTCCATGCCTGTGTTTTTCGCAAAAAGAAGAAAGCTGGTTTCCTGTCGACTCACAGCTTCAGGTTCCTGCCGAGAAAATTTCGCTGCTTTGACTTTCAGGAGCTGTTCTTAGTATTTGCTGCTGCTATTTCAGTGACATACGTCTCAGCTGGCTCTCGCGTGGTGAAGCTTTCAACATTGTCCATCGGTGGCATCATGTCCATGATTGCTTCTGCAATGGTGCTGTGCCTCAGTGAACACAAATGGTTGCAACGCCGTACTGCCTGGGTTGCAGCTGGGTTCTCTGATTCCCTGCCTTGGAATGAGCAAGTTGCGGCATTGAGATATGTCGATGACTTGCTGCAAGTCAGTGCCATGTATTGTGCGGGTTGCCTTGCGAGAGTGCCAGAGGTAGTGTACCAGGTGCCTTTCAAATTAGCGGAATCGGGCAGGGCCGTGACATGGATCGATCTGCGCCTAGACTTGGACCCCCTCAGCGTCAGCGTGGCGCAGAAAACATTGACAATCAAACCACCATGGGCAGCGAAATCAGGATATGTGCGCTCCTGGTTATGTGGGCGATTTGCCAGATGGCAACAAGTGGGCTTATCTAAGGAGATGACTGCTGCAGAGACCACACGTGCTTTTTGGGAGTTACTTTTGCAGGGCTCTCGATTAGGATGCTCAGGGCTCTTGTGTATTCCTTCAAGCATGAGCGATGGGCTGCTTAATTTCAAGTCTTACAAGCTTGTTATTCAGCTGCCAAATCCTACTGCGCGTGAGCTTCAGCAAGACGGGGCCCAAGCTCGTTTTCCTCTTCGTCGCGCCTTGTGTGCCGCCATGCTCCCACCCTTTCTGCAGTTGGGGCTGCTAATGGGATGGCTGCTGCAAGCTGTTATGGCAACGAATAGGCTGGGGAAGAATGGTGAGCGATACAGACCATCGAAACCCATGGGCTCCGGAAGAAGAGGCGATGAAAGGGCACGCCATCCTGAAGCGGTGCAAAGGCTGGTGCTAGACATTCGTACCAATGACAATGCTGGCCGTTCCCGCAAGAGGAGCCGCCGAGGAAGACCTCGTTCGTCTTCATCAAGCTCAAGCTCATCTTCGCGCAATAAAGCCAGAAAGGACAAACAAGAGATTGCTCGGCTCAAAGCCATGCTTGCGGAGAAAGAGGCTGAGGAGTGCAAACGTGAGGCCGACAAGAAACATGCTGACGCGGAAGCTGCCAGGAGGAGAGAATTGGAAGAGTTCAAGTCCACTGTCCTGTCACTTCTGCCAAAGCAGCCTCCATTGCCGGCCAACGTCACAGAGGGTATGCCAAAAGCTTCGTTCAGTGCAGAGATTGCCCAGCGCGCAGGTTACTTTGTGCATGAGGTGGCCGATTTTGCTGGGTGTGATTCTTGGGAGGACATCGAGGCCCGTCTCAAAAACGTGTCGAATCCAAAGCTGAAGGAGATGCTGCAGGGGAAGGGCGTGACTGATGTTCCCTCATCGAAGCCCGCTGTGGTCAAAGCAGTCATGCGAGTCCTGAAGAACGAGTTTTCCTCTGTTCAGTGATTGGTGGCATGTGGGCATCCTTGCAGGCATGTTCCCATGGACAAACTGGCGCTGTGTGTGATCTTTTTCGCAGGGGCACTCAGTGTTTTCGTGCTGTTCGAGAACAAGCCAAGATCAGGCCTGCCTACGTGGCTAGCTGTTCCATTGGAGGTTGCAAGTGCAGTGCGTACGTTGACCGTTCACAGAGCCTTCGTGCAGGAGTTCGAGAGTTGGGTGGGCATGCCAATCCTTATGTTTGGGGCTGCTGTCCCAGCAATGGCAGCATGGGGTTTCCTGAAATGGGCCTCCCCTGGAGCTCTCGCATCTTACATTCCGCACGTGTTTTCAGGTGACAGCATGCTAACTCACAGATGCCAGAGAAGCTTGCGGATGCAGCCATGCCCACCGAATTTCGCTTACAAACACCTCAGTGACCCTTGTGAGCTACAGATTCCTGTGCAGTTTTCGCAGCTTGAACTGTAAATAGATCTCTGTAGCATGAGGCTCATTTTTGAAGCACGTTCTTCTTGTGGGATGAGCTGAACATGCACGTGCCTGTGATTGCGTCCTTTAATGTAGCCCCTCCTGTCATGCTGACTTGATTCCCCTGCAGGTTTCCATATACCGTCTCATTCATGTCAGGGACGTCCAGCAATGTCAGGAAAATTAGCGCCTACCGCTTTTATGAAAGCGGCTTGCGCAGCACTACGCTCGAGCCATCCTGCTGCCCAACCGTGGCAGCGGGGAGTGCACAGCAGCGAGCGCTCACGTAGACCCCCGGCTCTCAGGATGGCAGAGGCAGCAGCAGCAATGTGAAAAGGTGCTTGGAAGTACTGCATTGCTCGCATCGGCATTCCAATCTTGTGCATGGCCTTTCAGTGGTCGGGAAGTGGAAGTGTGTCCCTTGTGGAGCTTGATGACGAATTGGACTCTAGCGTTGCAACAAAGCATCATGCCTTCAACGATATTTTTACTTGACAGGTTGACAACAACAGCACCATCCAGCAAGTTGCAGTGACATCTTAAAAGGCTTGCTTGCATTCTCTTACTGCAAGAATCTCAAAACAGGCAGCTTTGACTTTGAAGCAGTCAGCACCATCTTGGGATTTCGAGAACAAAGCGTGGTGTGAGGTTTCATTAAACCCCCGTTTACAAAAGACGGTTCCCCAGCATTGCAAATTCTGAAAGCTGCCCCCAAGACTATACGTTTAAAAGGCCCAAGACTACAGTTATTTACGGCTCGGATCCTTGGAATTAGCGGGGTCCCTAGCGCGACTCTTAAGAATTCGGGATCTCCTTGATATCCTGGATGTTGGTTGTTTTTGAATCGTCCGTATACAGTCATGTAGAAACTGAATGCGTGTTGATTGGGTTCATTGCGATGTTCAATCTTTTCCTATTAGTTTGTAATTAGATGCTGATTGAATTTCACTTGATGTTCATCGATTACTCGATTTTGATAAGCTTTCAATTGGACGTTAATTAGATGTTAATGCGGTTGATTCTGCTTTTGAATTGATTTTTGAATTGGCTTCATTTACGTTGTCACTAGGTTTCAATTGCTTTTAAAGTGGTTTTAATGGATTTCATTACGGTTCTAGAATGACTTGACTGAGGTTTAATCGGCTTTTCCTCGATTTACGTCGATTCATTGTTCGATTTTAGTTGGATTTCAATCGGATCCTATTAGATACCCCCCGCTCCCCCCCCATTATTCCGGTACCACAGTAAATCATACCCCCGAATATTAAATACGGGGGGTTGACAGTTACTATTAGGGGGAAGGGATTAGGCATGAAGCATGAAACTTAGGACCTCAATCAGAAGTACCTGCAGCAAATAAAACTCATCCTAAACAGTCCTAAGCCCAGAAAACCCCACACCCTTAAACTGGAACAATAATTCACGTCCTACCCTACACACTACATGCTATGTACCCCGGATCCTTGAACCCAAACCGTTCTGAGCGGCTCCCAAACACAAAGGAAGCCTCCAAGGGACTTCGAAGAAGAGGCCCCTCTTTTTAAGAGACCTTTCAGGACTTAAGGGAAATGCCTGAAGGAGTCCGCAGTTATTGTTCCCCCCTAGATAGGGTTCCCTCAACCCTAAAACTCTGTAAACTCGATTTGGGTTCCTGAAATGAGGTCCGGGGATGCCGCAGATCCTGAGCAGACCTGCAAGCTGAATTTTGACAACAAGGTCGATGTCAGGGGGCAGGCTTTTTCTGCTTCGACTGTCTTGGGTCTTTGTGTTTGAGGTGTTGAGGGGTTTTGCGGGCCTGAACTCTTGCTGAGGATATAGGTTACTCTTGTTATCTCTTGTTCAGGGCTGTTTGGAGGTGTTTTCATTTGTGGGCTGTGTACAATCCTGAACTAAATGAACTCATGTTTCTAGGTAGTTCGCACCTTACGCCCCGCGAGATACACATGTTGAATTCAGGGCTTCGGATTTTCCAGTTTTCATGGGTCAGGTGTTTGGCTTCAGCCGGATGTTTCAAAGTTTAGTTTTTGGGGTTTGCATCTACCGTCATTTCAGTCATCCCAATCCGTCTGTCTTCTCTCCACGCTAATCTCCACTTCCCTAGCAATACAACACCCTTAATGGTATACTCTCATGTTATAGAGTCATATGTACGAGGGGAATGCATTAGTCATATGTCATTAGTATGTCGTAGAAGTATTACATGTATCCTCCAATAGATTTCGCCTACTGCGTGTTAAGAGAGGGCGTGGGTGCAAAAACCCTGAACCCCAAAATAGTGTAATGTAGATGATGTCTTAAGAATTACCACGCTCTCCTTACAATGTTTGCATAATGATAGTATTGGAAAACTCCGCATGGTCGTGAGATATGAAAAGGTGGAAAGGATGATCAATGCATCTTCCCTTTGCAGAGGCAGCACGGCCGGAGTCTAGAGGAAGCCCAACTACAGTGATGGATAGTAGGGAATGGCGATCCTTGAAGGCACTATATCGAGTCTACTGTTGGGAGCCGGCCCGCTAGTCCCTTCTGGCCAACTGTGAGCAGATCTATGGCAAGGGCCGTTTAGGTTGTAGGGCTTTGGCGGGTTAGGGTGGTTGTTGACGTGTAGGGGCTAGCATGGATCCCTGAACAAAAAAAGAAAAGCCTCAAACCCTGAATCCAAACCCTGCAACCCTCAGGAAAACTAAACGCAAAACCCGTGGAGTTTGCAGAGGACTTGCTCATTGCAGCAGCGAGCGAGATCCTGGGCGTCATCTTGGCGATCTGCATGTCTGCGGCCTTGGCTGTTCTTGCTTCATGTGGGCGGCTCTAGGGATTCTATGCGGTTATGACGAGCATACGATTACACACATGTATATGTATATATATATATACATGTATATAAATACATGCCTCTCTCTCTCTCTCTCTCTATCTCTCTAGATATGTATGTGCACGAAGTCTATGTACAGCGCTTGGGCTTTAGGCTTCAGGGGCTTGAGTGCCTCCCAGCTGCAAACTAGGAACTCTCAAAAGCGGCCTCAAGACATTGTATATTATCAGGGGAATGTAGGATTTGGGTGCTTGTTTGTGGGGTCTCATGAGATTCGGGATTCGAGTGTGAGGCTTGTAATGTAGAATGCCCTGTATAGACCTGGGATCCCTAAGCCCTAAAAAATGGTCTAAGAATTCAGTGTCTTAAGATGAAATCTGGGGTTCAGGATGTATAGCTATATAGCTGTTGCGTTTAGGGGCTTGGAACTTGGGACCTTAGGATCTAGGATGTATCAGGTTCAGAGCAGTTGAAAGGAGTTAGCCTGCAAATTTGTCAGTTGAAGCTGTCGGAATTACTAGACTCCAACCCTCCGGCTGGCTGTCGTTTGATGTGCAGGTGAATAGAGGTTGGTTCAGGTGCTTGCAGCCCAGAATCCAGGGCTCCTATGAAACTTTTGTTGCTCAAAGTGCCCCGTTGGCATGGGGTCCCACAATCCACTTGTGATCCATGTATACCCTTCTCGCAACTGCCATGTGCTGACTGATCAGGCAATCAAGGCCCGAGGCCTCCTAGTCATCATGGCCTGTGTTGCCAACAGCTGTTTGCTTCATCTATAAAGCCTTCTGTGATATCTCTTAGGGGTTTAGTTTGGTTTAGCGGATACTTGTGTTGGGGTTTGGGGTTTTCGTTGGGAGGCAATCTGCTGAGAGCTCTCTGATCCGAGTAGCTCACCGCATTGCATTGGGCACCACACGCGCTATGCTTCTTGAGCAGGATCGATGAGCCCGGGCGCGTCTTCACCCAAGGCCATGTCCAATCAAGGGCTTTGGGGTGGGGAAGTTTCCAGGGGCGTTGCGCGTGCAACGGAGGGAATTTGGTTTCTAAAGGGTTTCCTGAATGAACATGTCTGATCTTAAAAAATGTTTATGTTCCAGTTCTAAAACGCTAGACCAGGTGGGGGACTTTGTTGGGTGAAAAGGCTTGTCCCTTCCGGTGTTCGGTGAGGTTGCGTGGCTTGCTGGCAATCCTGTGCCGAGGTGTGGAGGTTCACAACCCATGGAGGCCTAGAATCATGGTCATGGGCCCTTTGGCAGGGGCATGTCATCCTGAGGGGAGGGTGTTGGCCTTGGCACATGGCGATGTTAGCCACATGGACACCGAACGCAGATCTGGCTTCTTCTATGTTGTCAAGGGCATCCTAAACGCCCACATCCACAGACGGCTCTATGTGCTTAAAGCCATCAACCGTAATCTGTCGACCTCCCACCTGAGCCCTGAACCCTGAGCACTGAGCCCAAATCAGGCCTCTTCTACGCAATCACGGGCATTTGCAGCTTCCTTCTGGGCTTTCGCTCGCTGGGACTGGAGGTAGCCGGGATGGGGGTTTTGCAGGGATGCTGTCAGGATAGAGCGCGTTTTTCAACATAGTTCGTACATATTCCCTTAGGAAAGACCTCGTAGAATGTCCTGATCATCCCTTTCAATTTTGTGCTGATACGTTAAGGCTGGGTCATAGGCCATGGCGCAAGCTCCCATCTGAAGCTACAGCATCCACCCGCCTGTT